AGGGAAGGGAAGGGAAGGGAAGGAAGGAAGGAAGGAAGGAAGGAAGGAAGGAAGGAAGGAAGGAAGGAAGGAAGGAAGGAAGGAAGGAGGAAAATCAGTCTTACTGTGACTCTCATTGGGCATATATGTATTTCAGTAACAGAGCATCAGTGCAGGATGAGCAGAAAACTCAGCAGAAGAAATATTTCAACAGGTATCAACTGCTGAGATGATTTTCAATGAAGCACAAAGCTTTATTCTTACACGTTTTGCTAGGAAGAGAAATACAGTCCTAGCAGTATATTCAAGTAGCACTTTGCCCAATATGAAATTCACAGAGGAACTTTGAAGGGGGYCTAAGGTGATCTTAAATGCAGCTGTTATTTAATCCAAATCCAAAAATGCTTCTCAAGTTCAGCCTATGAGAAGATTGCTGTCTGTGGATACTTGGTTCAGAAACACACACAGCGCTGTTCTACCACTYTGAGGACAGTCTCTTCTATGCTAGCCCAAAGCAGGACTCACATTGAAAAATCTCAAAATATCTCCTTCCTTCTCTGTGTAGTTATGTAAGGCTTTTTTTACAAAAAATGATCTTTCAACTCAGGCTTACAGTGATAACAGTATAATAATGGTGTTTCCAACAGTGTGCAGCTCTCCCCAAGAGACACTGGAAGATATTTTGTCAAATTAGTTCCTCAACATCACTAAGTCTGGGAAAAAAGCACAGATCAGTAGTTGAGCCTGTGCCCTTCTATCCTAGTGGAGGATGGAATAGTGTTTCTGCCAATAATAGCCTCAATCAGGCAGTTCCTGCTCTAAAGAAAAGTCTTCCTAAAACTCAAGACTTCAATTACACAATCACATACTATTCTGGCTTTAAGATCCCAGAGCAGACTGGATGATGTGTCTTGAATGACGAAAAATGAAATGGTTTTAAGTCATTTTCTGAAACAGGAGTAGAAGATAATGCTATTGAGTTTTTTAAAATGAGGTTAATTTTCTCTGCAGACAACAGAACACAAAGCCACTTAAAATCCCTGGTAAGCATTATATAATGCTTTTTAAAAACTTTCCCTGTTCCATACAGCTTCAACTGGGGTATGAACTAAAGTCAGTGGAAGTCTTTTTGCTGACATCAATGGGTTCTGAATTACGACCTCATTGCTTGCAACCCAGCTTGTGTGCTACATTAATTCAGAAACGGGTTTTAACAGCTTCTTTCACCTAACAATCTCCTGCGAGCTGTACACTGAGAGACAGAGGGCTTTTTTTCCTCTCTTTTGGAAGGACAGCAAGGGACAGCATAGCAACAGCTACAGTGTGACCTGCACTTTGCAAGTGGAATTTCCAAGAGGCAGAAACTGCTTTTCAGAGAAAAACATTCTCCAAGTGTTCTCCAGAACAAAACAAAACAAAACAAAACTTCAGTCACAGAAAGCTATTCCAGTAACAACGTCGATCACGAACAGATAAACCATAGTAAAAGTATGAGTGGACACAGTTTGGAGAAACTGGGAAAGCAGATGATAGAACCAGTTTTGGAGAACAACTGACACACAAATAACTGTACAAGTTGCACCGTAGCTGAAGAATAATATCATAGCCTTACTTCTTCCAAACAAGCACTTTCAACAGACACACACTCCAGCTTAGTGTAAATGAGATGGTTAGGGACAAGAGTACTGCTGTCATCCTGTCACTCACTGTCCCCTTACCCTGGAATCATAAATTAACACAGCTTTGCTGCACAGGGAAATGTTCTTAGAAACTGTTGTTCTGCCCATAACTTCAGCCCTATTTAAGAAGATGAAAATAAAGACAGTTTTGGTTCCTCCAGCTTTTTAAAAGAAAGAGTCTGCTTAAGTACTTTATTTTTATTCACCTGSGAGATGCCTGCTTTCATACTATCCTTGGTGGAACAACAGCACACAAAGATTGCTGGCTTTCAGACAAGAGATTTTACAACCCATCAGATCCATTCATGGTTTTGCTTATTAAAATGGTATTTGTACTGTTTTACTGATATGAGTTTGCATTAGTACCACTGTTTTCTTCCCCACAAGGACAGGTAGCTTGTGCTCCCTCACACAGCCATTCCCAGYTGAGCTCTGGAACACAGGGCAACCACAAGCTCTTTGTGGCTGGTGGTCACACCAGTGGCTACCCAGCCCTGGAAACCACAGCTTTGAATGCAGCATGTTTTGCCTCTCTGAACTGACCCACTCTGCTACCAGCTRTGGATAGCGCTCACATGGTTATACTATAACAGGTTCCAACAAAGCCAGGAATAAATTCTTTCAACAGAAATTCTCAGATTGAGCCATCTCCCCAAGGATGTGGCTCTGAAATGCAGCACAATGGCCAATGTCATTGTGGGGGAAGACAGCCAGAGCTGCAGACCTCCAGCTTTTTGTCAGGCTTGCGCTGCCTTTCATAGAGCACACGATGTCTCGCCTTCATGTGATCAGACTACATAAGAACATTCCCTCTACATGACGGAAAGAGATTACATTAAACACACATCCATGCACCCAGCACTAATCTGTCCTTCACAGTTCAGCATGTGTTTACTCATTCTCTTACCAAAGTCCAAACTTGTATCTTTGGACACATGCCCTTGCATGGGCAAGGAACAGATGTCAAAGGATGCTGCCCTGAATTCCTAGAAATCACAGTCATCGCTGTCTGACTAAGCATAAGTCATACACCAGTTGATGTGTCCAGAGGGGAACCAGAGAGAAATAATAAAGAAGTGAGGAAACAYGTAGTTCTCAATGCAAATACAGGTTAATGCAGTAATCAATCTGGACTGCAGTGATCAGCTGATCTGAATTATTGTCCCATATCAATCAAATCCCAAGTTTCATAAGCAGGCCTTAAAGAGTGATGGTGGGTGACCAAAACGTCACAGTCCACCACACTCTCAAGTAGCACTCCAGATGCAGCAGAAGAGAGAACCTGGCCAGCACTAAAGAAAAGTATGTAGGAATAAAGGGAAAAAGAAGAKTTCTAAACATCTGGGGAAGACATTTGTGCTTGAGACATTTATACCATTGCCTTTGACATGACACAAGATGAGGTGAGCTTGTACTTGCACCTCATGGCAAAACAAAGGAACCCTAAAACTCCTCATCACAATCCACAAGACACCAAGCCTGAAGGAACAACTCACTTGAGACATCAGCTCTTTCAGATAAAATGCAGCTTACTCAACTAATCAGTTTTTCCCCAAACACAGCAGGCAATGCTTAATTAGGAACATAATGTCATGTGTGAAGGACATTTTGTTAAATATTCACTGCATGTACTGAAGAACTCYATTTTTTCATACAATGTGACATATAACAGGCACTGAACCAAAACACCACAGAAGTATGTGGTTTATGCTATCCCACTGGACTAGCAAACAACATTTAACATTGGGAAAGTATTTCAGATATAACAGACAATGTCTAAATGTTCCTTTACAGTATTGCCACAATAACTGCTTTTCTTCCATGTTACCACAGCCATTAATAGAGAGTGAGCAACAAAAGTCATCGTAAAACAACWCAACCGCAACCTTTGGAAAAGATATATAACCTTTTTTGTTACTCCTTCTCCTCTGTCTTCTAACCTAGACTTCATACCGAGCCTTGCTTTGTATTTTCTTAGCAAAAATTAGAAGCCACTCTATTCAAGTCAATAAAATTATTGCAACATGACGAAGGAATCATCCATCTGCAAAAAACAGTCTAACAGGTAATTTTCCACTGACAGCTCTTACCATAAACCAGGTTACAGAAATTACTCTTTTATCTAACACTGGAAGTAAACAATTAATGCAAAATGCACAGTGCTTTTAAAAACAGTAGATCCTCCACCTGTGCCCTTTATACGTAATTGTTTTCATCTTAGTAAGCAGACAGTTAAGAAAGACTACCATCTTAGTAAGCAGACAGTTAAGAAAGACTAAATAGTAGATGGAGCCTATTCATCACACAAACAGGTGGCTAAACATCTCTATTTACACATTATTTTACCTTTTGTTCCCCCCTTGGAAAGCATGTGGAATCTATGAGACATTTTCACGCATCATGTCCTGTGGAAGAACATCATGTCCCCTTTTATGCCCTCAGACAAACTTCTCCTCTCTGATCTCAGTAACTGTCCATATCAAAATTACTTTTCATACCTTGTGTAAGCAGCTGGAGGTTTCGGACTTCTTCTCTCACCTTCAGCTGAAGGACTTGCTGCAGAATGTGCTGTCGCAGGCTTTCCTGGGCAATGCCCATTCGTTCAAGCTTTTTGTCTGTAAGTCTCAGCAAAGCACGGCCTGCATGCAAAAGGCAAAAAGAAAAATCACCCAAGGATTTCAATCAGTGCAATAGTCTCACTGATATAATAATTTGCTACAGAAAAAGTCTTCAACCCTTAAATTCTGACRGGATATTGTTCCATCAGTTAGGTACATCCTTACTGTTAGAGATTCATRTGCCACTCCTCCCTTTTCTATTGTTTTCCTGTATTGTTTTGGTGTTTTGTGAGAGATACAGGCATGTAAAAYAGACATCTTGTGCCTTTTTAGATAACCAATCACTGTTCTTAAGGGTCAGCTGGTGTCCCGTGGATAGGACAGCCCCTACAAGTCTACAGCTGACACAGGAGCCTGCATAGACCCTCGCCTGTTTTCAACCATCATGTCAAGAAATGAGTGAAAACCAACGACCATGGGTTTTACAAATTAAATCAATTTAAGATATACCAAAGATGAATATTGTTGCAATTCAGATATGTCTACAATGTAGCAGCACCATTTCACAGGWTGGTTCTATACTTCATGGTTCAGCCTTCCAAATCCCTCTCAACAGCAAATGATCACAGCAAAATTGAAAAAAGCACCAGAGATTTATAACAATTATATCTAAATAACTTTGAAAAAATATATTGTCCAACTATAAAAAGACATTAGCCCAACTATAAGGAGCCTATGGTCTTTGCAGGCAATCACTCCCAGYCTGTGACTGATCTTTACTATTAGGTAATGTTGAAACACAGTTCCAGGCAGATTTTAGATGTTAAAAAAATCAAACCATCCACATTCTCCTGATTTTGCTAGTGGAACTCTGACTCCATCTTTTGGGCATTGGCTATGCTGTAAATAAACAGGAGCAAGGCTATACACTGTCTGGAGCCAACACTAAGGAAGTATTKGGACCATGCAGAGAACCAAAGCATCAAGCAGAATTTTACCCTAGGAAGAAACCCAAAACTTGGCTTTCTTTGGTCTTCAGCACTGCCGTGGGGTAGTACAGGGAGAAGTGTCTTGAAGCCCTCTACTGAGTCTTGATTTCCACTATACACATTTGCTTTCTAAAGGCACCCTGGCAAATACCAACAAATCAAATTGGAGCCTACACTGATACTACCTTGAAAATTACATGTTTGGTTCACGTTTTGAAAAAAGGTTCAACTTTTTACCTGCCCTAGTTCTTTTTAATTATTAAAATTCCCTTCTTTGACTGATCAGGCCTTATTCTGAAACCAGAAGAASATAGCAAAGAGCAAGCTATTCCCTCTGCAAAAGCACCCTCTGTGCTACCATTACTGTGGCTTKTGGCTGAATAGTACAATGTAGCTCATCAGAAAGTTTTACTCAACACAGCAAGATAAGGCCCTTGTTCAATCTCTTTCCTTACAAAACAGGAAGGAGCACAGAATTTTTATAATTATTTTAATTAAAAAAATTAAGATAAGTGACAAAAAWTTAAAGGGGCACAGAATATCTGCCCAAAACCAAGGAATCAGMAGCATGTTTTTCACAAACTGCTGGATTTCACTCACAAGCAGTTCTGTAGGATCTTGATATGAGGCAATGTAAAATACTGGGATATTACTATTAATAAAGCAAGATGTTATTGATCAGATAAAAATGAGAGCATTCATAGATTTTCTGCCCTTCTGTGTCTCTCACACTACATGCTACAGAGGATGACCTTTTGATTAGGAAACCTTTCTTTGAAATTACTAACAAGAATTCTAAGGGTTAATGTAATAACCAACTATGGAAATTAAGTCTCTTACAGATCAATGCCAGCTGTCCAATTCCCCTGGTGATAAAGGCAGCAATAATGACTTCAATTTTTATATTGTCTTATCACACTAAAACATCTTAAAGCAATTTATAAAGGAGGTACAACAGTTCAAGAGTACAGTCTGTAATGTCAAATTAGCAACTGAAGCAAATAAAATACAAGACACCAGTTTAAAGAGTGCCAACACATGTGTCATCTTAGGGCAGGGAGTCAGCAACAATAATATGAAAGGACAGACAGAGGCCATGCATCCCAGCCAGTGCCCTCCACCTCTTTTTGGCCATGGATATAGTCATCACTTTTTCCTTCCCCTGGGCAACTCTTTAGCTCATATTCAAAYCMTTTTTCTACCCCAGCCACTGCATTTGGAAGTTGAGCATGCACAAAACAGAGATGTTTCTTTTCAACTCTTGGCATGCCAGTTCCTCTGTGGCTTAGGCTCAAAGCACGATGCTATTGACTCACACTATCTGTAGCAGCTTGCACAAAATTGCAGTTGCCTTAAATTAACTCTTTCTTGCACCAAATCCAAAGTGAGGTGTTRAGGCAGTGATGAGGTGAGTAAGCAAACATCTAAACATGTTCAGGAATGCAGTAAGTGACCTGAACTGTAAAATTCGATCCTCCCCATACCCTCTTTACCCCTCAACACTTAAAACAACAACATCCAAGCCAGGACTGGAATAATTTTCATTCCAATACTTTGAAAAGATATTTTTTAATGCCTGGATCAGTCACTAAAGCCAATTAGTCACTAAGGCCAAGATCCTGACAATCAGCTAATGATTTTGGATGCTTCCCTGTCTTGCTTTCTGTATTTTGCATATGTGAAAGAGTAATCATTTAATACTAAGAACTCTATGTTATTGAACATTGAAACCAACTGTCCAGAGAATTTGTGGAGTCTCGGTCTTTAGAAGCATTCAGAATCTGTCTGACAAGGTCCTGAGCTGTATTTGTCGCTGCTTTGAGTAGATGATTGCTAAAGGTGCCTTCCAACAYTATCTTCTGTGAAATAACCTGCATAAAGGACCTCAATCTAAAGATCTATTTTCTKTTAAAAACCTAAGATTAAAAAAGGAAATTATTATGAATACACAAAAGACGGTCATTTTACCAAGCAACATGGTTAAAACAGAGAGACAGCTATAGAGTAAAAATTGGGAGTAGATTTTTAATTTTCAGAGAGTGCAGATATATTATCAAAAGCAGAACATGTGACAAAAATAACGATTTCTGAAAATGTACACCGATCTTTGCTCAAACACAAGTAGAATGAACTTAACTACCATTGCAAGAAAATGTCCCAACACTACAGAACAGGCACTACATCTCACATGTAGCATCTATCTGCCTAACAGAGAAGAGGACATTTTTCTCAAAAGCACCYTGACAAACAGAACCATAAAAGTTTCAGTGACAAACACCTAGGCCTTGGCTCAAACTAATTGCAAGGCTAGAAATCAAATGTTTTAAAYACAATTCCACAACTCCCTCAGTATCTGTACACATGTTTTAGCACCTAAACCCCAGCCCTCTCATACTCAGGGCAGATCAGCCATGGAATGTTCTGAGACACCCTGAGGGCGAACACAAAATATAAAACACTTTCCAGCTTAATAATGGATTGATGGCCTAATTTTTTCTAATATGACTTAGCTGCTGCAGATCTCATTTGATCAAGCTGGGATTAGAYGAAAATTTGAATGGAGGGAGAAACATTGCATGCCACAGAACATTAGCATGAGTACAAGCATTGGTCCAATGAGGATGGCAGTGGCCCTTGAGCAAGGAAKGCGGCACAGTCTGCTGTACCTAATCAGAAATGCTCAGTCCTCCCTGCACCAGTGTATCCTACTGCTCTTCCCCCAAGTGCCAGTTCACAGACACACAGAGATAYGCCTCTTGGGAAGCCTGAAAGAACACTTGTGAGGCAGGCAAATGGACAGGTAAGAAAGGGCTTATTKAACATGTAGAATGAACTGAAGAAATAAAAGGAAACAAGAGCAGATAGCTAGTAAGTCACTGATCCCACACAAAACCCTGAAGAAAACTATGAGTAATGTAAAGCTGATGAAAATGATAAACCATTAATGGGAACAAATGATGGTGCAAAATATGGTCAAGGAAGGTGATCTTGTCTTCTGATTACAGTATGAAAGGATACCTGATTATCAAGACAAGATGTTCAATTTACTTACCTGCAAAACCTGAAAAAAAGGAAAATGAGATTCACTAAATCCCTAAATTAATGCAAGATCAGAAATTTTTCAAGCTTATACTTAAATGTTGCAAATGTTATTTTATTCTTAGTTAATGGATAATAGCGTGCTTCTATAGTTTTTCAAATGTGGTACCTTTGTGTTTATTTGAAATYGTCAGATCACAGCTTTTCTCCTGCTTAGCTTCTCTTGACTTCAGTGCTTAAAAACAAGCCTCACTGGACATATCAAGTAAGAAATTTCCATGACAGAGACACAGACATAAATATCATCGTTCAGGTGCTGGTGAGACACAAGTATAAAGCTCTCATCRTATACTCAGAAAAGAATGCAAGCAAGAATGGGCAGAGAAAGAGGCTATGACTTCATAGTGAGGAATGGCAAAATTATGAGAGGAGGCAAAAAAAACCCCAGCCACCTACAGAATGAGAATGGCCTCATGATGGCAGTGGAGGGAGATGAACACTGGGAAAAGAGAACTATTAAACTAGGGAAGTGATCTGAAAAGAGAACAAATGGATATGAATACAACTGAGGATCCTGGGTTCAGAAGCATCTTTCAAAAGAAAAAGCACAAACCAGGAATCAATCCAATTTTCAGAGCAAACTTGGTATGACTTCATGATGCTTTTCTGGATACCCTATCAGATCTTCTACAGTCCTACTTTTCTCAGTCCTACTATTTTCCTACAGTCCTACTTTTCTCAGTCCTACTATTTTCTGCTTTTCCCATGAGAATTTAAGAGCATGTCTCTCCTTCTCATGCCTGTCTCATCATTAGTCAACCAGACACATCAGCCACTTTGTCATTAATGCCTTGAGGCAAATCTACAGCTTTTCTTGCAAAAGCAGTTAGATCTGGTTTGTCTTATTAATCATTTTAGCCCTGGCACTAATGCAGACTCTTGGTAATGCAGATTGCATTACCATCTTCTTTGTCCCACTTCAGATATCTAATATGCCACTAATCAGGGAAGACTTACTTGCTTTAAAAGTAAAAATGGATTAATTTTTCATCA